TGCCCTAGATCTTGATTGTAACTATGTATATAAGTAGATATATACAATTTACGTTTTTGTAACATATAAGTAGATATATATATAATTTACGTCTTCTTGATATACAATTAAAAAACTATCAAGTCGGCAATCATAACAGAAAGAGGTCAAAGTTTAACGACGAGCGTTGTAATCTTCTGCAAGACAGACATTAAAATATGTTCAATTTATGTTGCGTTTACCGTCAGTATTTTTCCAGTATATATTGCGTTTTTATTTGCATAACTTTTACCATCTCAAAATGTCCTCTAGAACAACAATCGGACAAACACCACTGAAGAGATTGATGTTTGGTCTAATATCTTTATTCATCATCAACACCATCAAATTCTGCTAATATACCAAAAATAAATTATAAATTTATTATATCTATAGGTGATGGGTCTCCTCCTAGATCTGGAGTGAACCGGTGGAAATAGGCTTCGATATGTTCGAACCGTGGTTAAATCGCCCTCAAGTTGCAACGAACACCTGCAAGAACTCAACACCGGAGATGTTTCCGGTGAAGAGCCTCCGACGCTCAAGTCAGTATGTGAGTGATGAAGATGAGCTCTGCTCAGTAGGAGCAACAACTGAGAAATGAATGGAGAGAATGAGAGTTAGGGTTTGGAGTTACCTCAGCTCCTTTATATAGAGGCAAAGCATTTACCTGAAGTCCCCAAAATGCATTGGCTGACTTATGCGAAATGTCCAAAATGCACTGGTCGGTTCGCATTCCGCCCACCTCCTAGTCAGCATCCAGATTCCTTCTTATCCTTGGCAGTTTCACTATGATATGTTGAAGTATATAAGAGTCGTCGGAGGTCTTGGTGCCTCGAGGCGTCATGAGTCGACTTTGGGTATTTTCGAGTCGACTCAGGTCATTCTTGAACATCTGTAGATCATGTTGCGCCTATCCGTCTTTCTGAGGGGAGTCGACTTCTGGAGGTCGACTGAGAGAAGCACCCGGAACCTGTTAAGCTGAAGACAGTTCTCAGGAAGCTCGAGGGAAGAATCGAGTTTACGGAAGTCGATTCCATGATGTCGATTAGTCAGAGTCGACTCACATGCTATTATTCAACTGGGTGGTTAGTGTTTGAACCGCCACGCTGCGATATGGCTATATCACTATGTAAATTTGTAAACCAAATTTTTACTAGTTTATTTTCTATTTATTATATGTTTAAAAACCAATACAATAGTACTTGTGTTGCATTTTTGTTTACATAGATTTATATCTAGTTTATTTTTCAGTATATGTTGCGTACCATAAAAAAATATGCTAATATACCAAACGTAAACTATACATAAACCTCATGTAAATATTGAAAACATATCCGATCGAAACTATCTGCAGGCCGCCGCTGCTCACAAACAGAGTTGTCGTCGCGTCGCTGAAACTTCACCAAAATAACCCCCATCAGTCGTTGTTGTCTTTTGGATTAGCCAAGTGAAACATTGCGGTTCAAAATCGGGGAAGTCGTTTGTCTCGTCATGAAGCTGAAGCCCGTCGTCCGAGTCAGGGATGAGCATGGGTCTGTACGTTTTGGAGATTGAGAAATCTTCAGAACTGTACCAAAATTTGAAAATTACGAAATTCAATCTTCGGAACCGTACCAAAAAATCGGGATGGTTCGGTTCATAAATTTTTATTTTTCGATTCGGTTCAGTTCGGTTCGGTTCGGTATTCAAGTCTATCACAACGGTTCAGTTCGTTTCAGAACTTCGGAGATCTCTTTTTTTTTTTTTTTTTTTTTGAATGAGTACCTAGTTATATTTAAATTTTTATATGATAAAAAAAAAATCATCAATACTTCATCATATTGAAGATTCTATTTTGAAATCAACTTTAGAAGTAACTCTAAATTTTAGCTATTTAATTTTTATATGCTTTAAAAAAAACAACTTTCATCAATACTTCCTCATATTAAAGATTTTGTTTTTAAATCAACTTTAGAAGTAACTCTAAATTTTTATTAAGACTAAATTTGTGCAACTAATATAAAAAATTTAAAATTCAAACAAAATATAATATAATTTTTCCTAAAAAAAATTCTCTAACCTTGCATACCATTTTTAATAATTTATGTATAACATGAAAAAATCAATTATAGATCAAGTATTACTAAGCAAGAAATTTAAGTGAAGATTAATTGTAATTACTATATTTTATTTGCATTTTAAAGATTCTCAAATTATATTGGATCTTTATGTAATGTTATAAATCTGTTTTAATTTCGGATCTTCAGTTCGGTATGGTATGAGACGGTTCGGTTTGGTTGTCGGTACTGATATTTGTGATATCTCCATAACCGTACCAATTATTTTCCAGTTCAGTTCCGCTCGGAGAAATTCAAACGGTCAACGGTTATTTTTAGGTTCGGAGTGATTTCGATTCAGTTTTCAGAACGGTTCGAAATTCTCCGAATTCCATGCTCAGCACTACGCCCGACGACATCCGCCACTCACGAGCCGAAAGGAACCGCCGCACAGTAATAGTCATCATCTTCAAGCGCCGAATCCGTCGGTTGCTGCATTTCCGCCGTCGCAGAGGATGACTCAAGAGAAGGTGTGGGATCGTTTGTGGAGTAACTTCCTCTAAAATCTTGGGGTATGAGAAACCTAATATCATCGAATTGCATTTCCACTATATCATCTAATTGCAGCATCCCGATGAACAAGTCAATCCCAAATATTGATGGCGAATTTTTTAACATACCATATATTTTAAAATATTTGTAAAAATAAGAGGTGGTGTATATTAATTGCATGGATACCTTATTGTTGTTATTTGGTGATAAACAGAATCAGACGTTACATTTTTCAATCTTCATTTATACAATCACTGAAAATTTGGATTAGTGGCATAAGGTAAGTGTGTGTAACAAAAAAAACAAAAAACAAAAAACGAAATCCGGATTACCTGTTTATATCAAACCAAACAAGAGATAAAATTTGAAATTCAAAGTATGAGAAAACATGGGAAGAAAATATACACAATATACACGGATTAGTTTATACAGAATATATACATAATATATACGGAATATACACGGATTAGTTCATATCAAACACAAAATACACAATCTTTTCGTAATATATACAGAATATATACAAAAAGTATATACATAATATATATAATATATACCGGATTAGTTTATACATAATGTATACAAAATATATTGAACATATACGCCATATACACGCAATATATATTGTCATCACCAGTTCAAAAAAAAAATGGAATAAGATCGCGAAGCCTCTTTGATACTTCGACCATATAACTACTCTCACTCTCCCAATCTCGGCTATACTCCAATACTTCGACCTTCATCCACACCTCCGTCTGCCTTCGATAATCGAAACTGATCTTCGCCTTCGTCCTCCGTCCCCAGCTTCCGCCTTCGAGAATCGATACCGACCTCTGCCTTCGAGGATCGAGATAGATTTTCGCCTCTGCCGCCGGTGTCCACCTTCGAGAATTGAGCCCGCTTTCCTGACTCCATCGAATCCCGTTTTCTTCGTCTCCATCGATCCTCTTTTTTATAGTTTTTTTTTCCTTTTTGTTACAGTTTAAAAGTTATTATACCAGGTTTTTTAATTGGAGAGAGAAAATTTAATAACTCCTACAATTGAAAAAAATAATAATAATTAATAAATGTGCAAATAAAATTGCTTTGAATGGTAAGTGGTGTAATTTTCTCAATATTAATTTCTCTAACCCAATTGTCTCCCTTTGAATCCTCATGGAATCTAGCTAAGTCTTTAAAATGTCACTCGAATTCCGAAACGAATACACCCCCCTAAATGCAAGATTTCACCATCCAAACCAAAACCTAACCAACCCCTCAGCCAGACCCAATTCCCCTCAGTAGTCAAGCTTCTAGTTATAATTATTAAAAAGGGGCCCGAATGTTTTGAGCTGAATTTCAAGATTCTGCTGCTCATGATATCCTACATTGTGGGCAAGGAAATTTCGAGAGTTTTAATAGGTGGGTTTTGTTGGCTGACACTTGATTTGAAATGGGTTTTTAGGTTAGCTAAATTCAAAGTACATGTTTTGGTATAAGTCGATAGAATTGTCTGAAGAAAATAACAATTTGTAATATTCAAATTTGATACGGCGGATCATCTATAAGATGCAATCATATAACATACTCACGTCATATTACAAATAAGACTCCAGAGAGTAAAAACTCGTGTTGATAACATATTATGAAACTAGAGGAAAAGAGAGAACATATAAATTGTATTCTCTTGATATGATTTTCACTATAACAGAATCTCCTATTTATAGGAAAACTTCTAACGGCACAATCGTAATATTACAATTACATCGGAGACAATAATCATTCACATCTACCGATATTTCATAACAATTATATAATTTTCTCTTATTTATAGTGCAGGTATATGCGCTGTTTGAGTAAAACTTCAAGTATTTACGTAGAAAATGATCAGTAATATTGTCCAACGCATATTTTTACAGGCAATGAATGTGCTTGGCTCTTTGTATAGTTTCCTTTACCTTTCTCGATGGTTCCTCGTACAAGAAAGCTGGGTTCTCAAACTCAGGAGTCAGGTTAGGCTCCCCGATCAATGCACGAAATGAGTGACCAACTGAATGCGAAAGGGAGGTCAGGTTGTAACCGCCTTCAAGGAAGAACACGCAACGGCCCCCACATAAATCCCTCGCCAGCTGTCGGATGCCCGAAGCCAGCATATAATACGTTCCTGTCGTGAACTGCAGGTTCGCCAGCGGGTCCAACACATGCGCGTCGTATCTGGACACATTTTGAGAGTTGCATTTTTTTGTTCTCTTGGTAATTATTATGTCAAAAACCTCAAGGATAGTTGTAGTTGGTCATCCTAAAAATTATCTAAACACAAGGGTTTCAGGAAGTTGATAATAATTTACAGAAGCCGAACTTACCCAGCTGAAACGAGAATTATGTCAGGCTTGAACCTTTGAGCACTTGGCGCGATAACTTCTTCAAAGACACTTCGCATGGCTCTATCTCCCGATCCACCTGGTAAGGGTAGATTTAGGGTAGATCCTTCACCAGCCCCAGTACCTATCTGATTTATTTTACCAGTACCTGGGTAACTCCCGTCCTGCATTCGAGTAAAAATGTAACTGCTTATAATCTCAGAAACTGTATGTCAGCTTTCTAATGTGTTAAATTAGCTTGAGAGTTGAGGCACAGCATCAAAAGCTAAAACTCGACTTTTACACAATAGGGCAATGGGGTTCTCCATTAACTAGACCTTAATATTGTCCTTTTACTCCTCGTTACAATTTCAAAACTGTTGAACTTATGAGCTCATGAATTTCAAACAAAGAATGCTTTGAAATAATATTACTGATTAAACAACACAATACTAGAATATAGCTTACTTGGTGAGTGGAAAGAAAAAATATATCAGGATCATCATAGAAGGCATCATTGGTTCCATTCCCGTGGTGTACGTCAAAATCAATGATAAAGACACGCTTCAATCCGTGTGCACGCTGAGCATAACGAGCGGCAATGGCAACATTTCCAAATACACAGAACCCCATTGGTCCAGCTGGGACGGCATGATGACCTGGCGGCCGGACCAAAGCAAAACCTACCAGTGGTTCTTCCTTCACTTTTGATGCTGCAACCTGCATTAATCAGTAAAAGAAAGAATCAGATTTCTCCAGATGTGCATATATCTATCTCAAATTAATTTATCAGAAAATTCAAACATATAAGCATGACCACATAGATGACTTTTTTAAGTGACTAACGTCTTAGATTGAGACATCACCACTGCATCCACCAATGAGAGCCCAGCACCAGCTGCCAATAAAGACTCCTGGAAGGTCTGTTTCAATCAAGAACGCTAAATGAGCAAAAATGAAATAACCAACATGCTATCAGAACTTATAATTTATCATCAGTAGCAGCGGAAGATTAATAGCTCATCAGGCCAACTATGCAATGGTGAGTGTTGGGAAGCAATAGGAAAGAAAATGGAAAAAGTATGTGTGG